GGTCCCTTCTAACTCCTGAGATTCTGTGATTTTGTGATTCAAGGTTATTGCATCTGTAGGTAATTTCTTTCTGTCCTCTTCTTGAAGCTCAGGTATGAAAAGTATGATATGGCCACGAGACCAAAATGAGAGTATGCACAAGAAACACAGATGCCAGGGTGAATGGAAATGTAAGGTTTGGATTTTGTGCCAGAATCTCCATTTGGTGTTATTTAAAACTGCAGATCAGGCTAGACTATGTGACCAGCCCTAGACGAGTGTGTAGTCAAACTGTACAGTGTTGTTCCATTATATCCTGGCTCTTACAGAGCTGCTCCTTTACCAGGCATCTGAGGCCTGTGAAGAGACAAACAGTGTTAAATGGGGACATCTCACACAACCTCACTTCAGGCATCTGACTTCAGAGCTTGGATTGGGAGTCTCGGCTTCTCCTGAAGTCAGTGCAGCCATTTTGGTGTACATGTGTGCCCTGCCTCACCTTATGAAGACCCCATTGTCTGAGACCTTCGTTTGGACCTTCCACACATGGGAAATTGAGTTTCAGTTCCACATTGGACTACTTTGCTTCCACTTCTCTGGACAACCCCCCTGCAAAGTCCTCTCTTGCATGCACAAGGCAGTTCCATCTTGCCAGAACATGGTCAAGAGCCTGCAGTCCTGACTTTCAAGCTAACCTGGTCCAAAAGCATAAGCACTGAAATGAAGGACTTAAGAGGTAATTCTTAGGAAGCCACAGGAACAAGTGAAATAGAAGCAGTGTACATTGCTGGTGACAGACTTTAGGGCTGCAGAAAGCCAGGGATAAATTGTGTCTTGGCTCAGAAAGGCCTGTGCAGACCAGGAAGGCTGGATCCTGCTCCCCAGTGAGAGGAGGTAAAGCATCCTACCCTGAGAGGACAAAGCCACGCATTGAACAGACACGTTGCAAGTTGAGTCTTTAACCATGCTCTGGGGCAAACAGGTATTGGGAGCCAGTCTCTTTTCCAAAAGATATCACCTCCGCATCTGAATACTTGATTTCAGCCAGGTATTTATGGAGATCCCTTCTCCAGGAGAGCCCTTGCTTGAGCTTTATCAGGACACAGTCTATTAGTAACATCCCAGATCAAGAGCTGAGCTTAAAGTGAGCATTCTTAATATTTCGTGGTGTGTAGGTTTTGGCTGGGCTGTTATCAAGGTCACCTCGTGTGACGCTGTGCAGGAACCACATTCCTGGTCATGTGCCAATGTTGCTGTTGTCCACAAGGCTTCGTTTTCAGTGTAGCTAACAAAGCCCCCAGCAGAGTCTTCCCCCCAGAGCCCAGGGTGCCATCAGCAGGCCTGGGATTGTAATTTTTCCAAGTAAACTTCTGAGTTTTCATCTCATTTGTAACCCCTTGGAACAAAATCTCATGTTAACTGAGGTACAGCTAAAGCAAGGGATAGGAGCTGCATATTTCAGCACAGGCCCTTTGGGAAGAAAAGCAACAAACACCAAAATTGCCTAAGACTCTCTCATGTAGATGGCAGCAGCCAGTGTTTGCTAAGAAGAGGACATGGTCTGTGAGGAGCGGAGACAGAGGAGGAGTACAGCAGCAACCATCCACCACACTGTGGTCCCTTTAAATCTCCTTCTCCACTTGACAGCTCCAATTTTTCAGTGTTGCTATAGCAAATCTCCATGGCAATGACCCTAATCAGGGAAGGGGGGGATGCAGGGGGAACGCATGCTCAGAGTGGCTGCTGGAGCCTCGCCTGCTCGGTGCAGCTACTCCAAGGCTCTGGGAGCAGGCGAAGAGGAAGAGAAGGTACTTGGCAAACTGGCCCTTGGGGCGCATCGCAGGCCCGTGGCGTGTCGCTGCAGGGATGTGTGCATGTGGGTCTGTGTGTACATGTGGGTCTGTGCTTATCACGTCTCGTCCACTCCTTTGCTGGGAGCAAACTGCTGATTTTCTCCTTGTTTCAGGCAGGGAAGAAAGCTTGAATTATTGATGGGAGCAATGGCGTTGCCGTCTGTCTGGAGTGTGGCGCGTGTGGCAATCCCGTTCGTCCTGGTGGTTGGGCTGCTGAGCATCAGGCTTGTGGGGGCCGCCCAGGACTCTGGGAGCATCATTCCTGCCGAAAGTACGTACCTGCCTGCGCACCCATGCCCTCTCGCTGCACCCTGTCCCGCTTTGCTTCCTTCACTTCACCCACAGCAGCCGCACAGCCCCTCAGCTCCAGGGGGAGCATCGCGTTGCCTGATTAGTGAGGGAGTAACGATGAATTTGTAATGCACATGAAAACACCACTTATAAAGTTAGCAAGGAAGCAAAGGATTGGTAGTTATTTAGGTAAAAATACTGACTGCATACTATAATTTTCATCGGAGCTTGTTTTAAAGCTCTTTGATTGTAGTTAAAGCTGCTTCTTGAGAGTTTTGTTTCCAGATTTGCCATGATATATATGACATCCTTGCTAGTCTGGATATTGTTCAAAGAAAATTTATATTTATTTCTGCTAGGGCATTACATTTTGCTTATTTTAGTATTTGGCTGAAACAATAGGTCAAGTTCAACTTTCTTGTAACTACTATAGACTGACACAGGGGAAGTTGACCCAAACAGTATTTGTAAAACATATATAGATTTCTGAAATCCTGCTGCTATTCTGCAAAGCTGAAAAATAAATACATGACAGACTGCCTTGGGCACGCTGTGGTGCTGGGAGCTCTGAATTTGGATCACAGCTCTGTATTCTCTTCCTCTGTCATTTTGAGCAAGTCTCTGGTTAAACTTCCTCAGCTCCAAAATAAGGCAACAGTTCAAAGATAGGGGATGGAGTCAATGTTCTCAGGGTGTTTTGGTGACAGCAAGCAGGAAGCAGCCACTCATTAGAAACTTAAAATATCCACTGGGAGAAAAAAAAAAAAGGAAGGTAATTGGATACAAACCAGTCTGGTTCTTAGTCACGCTTACTATGTATCACAGCTATCTGTTTACTTGACTACCAAACTATTTAACACAAGACCTGATTTAGTCACTGCATTTTATTCTCCTGTAATTCCATTACTAGTTTTCAAATACATCTATGTGTATTTGATTCTACAGAATTTAAATGCTGAATTCCCTTATTTTTCCATTCTCTTTTTATTAGTTCTAAGTTTGTTCTGTTCTAAAACAGACCATATCTCCATTTTGTGTTTCTGGTTTATAGGCATTGCTTAAGTTTAATAAGTTTTGGGAGAAAATTATGCCTTTTGTGTGTCTATGTTAGCAGAGGCAAGTAATTTTTGGGAAAAAGTATATAGTGGTCCCTTGTTCTGCTTGTGTAGTGGAAGCTCCCATATAATCAGTGGAACAAAACTCTTGGCCAGGGTGTCTGGCCCTGTCTGAAGGAGTTATCTTTTTGATAGCCTGTGGCCAGGCTGCTGAGACCCTTGAAGAGCCCTGGAGGAAGATTCCTTCTCTTGTCCTCCTTAGGACACTGTGGATGCTAAAAGTCTGCATGGGGTTGCAGAACTGCTTGGGTAAATTCAAGGAAAAGAAAGGGCTGGAAAGGTCTGTTAGATGCAGCAGCAGTTCCTCTGGCTCAGGAGCTGTGCGCTGCATAGTGCTGAGGCCTGGGAGAGTCTTTGGGATCACATCCCTCCACACTTGCCCTTTTCTTGTGCTCTTTCATGGACATCCTTTGTTGGCCACGAAGGCCCAAGTGCCTATGGATGTTCCCTGGCATGAGGACCTGTTTGTAGTGCTACAATGGTCCCTGGCACACTTCTGTCTGTGACAGGATGCCATTTGCCTATCTAGAAGACAGAATTTACTGGTCCAGAGATGAGCTGCCCCATGCCAGCTGCTCTCAAAGTTTGGGGATGCTCCCAGACACATTTAATGTATTGCAAGAGATGTAGCTGATGGGAGGAGGAGCACTGGGCCAGGCAGACCTTTGGTGTGACCTAGTACAGACATTCCTGGAGCTTTTCCTGCTTGATGTCAGCTCTACTGGCTATTTCCTACCAAGGAGTTGCTGGGCACTGACCCATTTTGGGGGCAGTACTACTGCAGCACATGCGCACACCTTTCCTGTTGCTGGTGCTCATGTCCACACTGGTCAGCCCAGGTAAAATGGTGGCTGTGTGATCCCAGGTGACCCACAGAGGAAAAGGGGTACATGTTCTTGACAGAGACATATGATGTACATGGACTATACTAAGTGTCCTTCTGCAGGGCAGACCAGTGGAGCTCGATGATTTTCTGTGTTCCCACGTGTGCAGCACAGGACTGGGAACATGCCTTGAGCAGGAGCAATCCCTCATGGACCACATAGCGCTACAACCTCTCTCTCTCACCTGGTGGGAGAAATATGTCCCTCCTGCAGCACCAGGAGAGGGGCAGCAACACTTCCCTGCAAGTGTGGGAGGTGCAGGAGTCACAGGAGAGTGAGTCAGAGCTCTTCTTAGTGCTGCAGAGAGATCCTGCCCCGTGTGTGGTACCGATATCTGGCTTGGGGCACCATCACCTGCTCTCCACTTGGCACACTTTCTGCCAGTCAGAGAGCCAGGCCCAGCTCTTTATGAATAATGCTAATTAGCAGTGATTAATCACACTTTATACACAGCGCTTTGCATATACAAAATATTGTTCAAGTATGAAGTGGTGTTACTAACATTTGTGGATTATTTTCTTTAAAGTTCAGTGCAATCCACTACAAAAACCTTAAGTATTTTTCCCAACCTCCCATTGCATTTCTAGTCCAGATCACCCACTGTGAAAGCTGAAATGTGGAATTTGAAGAACAGAAGCTGGTCAGTCTGTTTTCATTAGCCAAGGTGCATGAAATACAAAGAGTAAATGCCATGTGCATGTGAGGGAAAGTAAATTAGACTTCTACAGTGCTTTCAGTTCCAGTTTTTCACCAAGGAGAAGCCAAGACGCATATTTTAAGCCCTCCTCCACCACTCCTCCCCAGACACACAAAGACACATGCAGTCTTCATGCTGACAGGACCCATTTAAAGAATTATAGCTGACTCTTGATAATTCTCATTATGTTAATCCACAAACCTGTTAAGTCTCCCTATGAATGATAGCCTGTTCCCAGCTGTCAGCAAGGAATTAATAGCACTATGCCGTACTTTGCTATGGTGTGACTGAAGGTTTGGTTTCATGATTGCTGTAAGCTGATGTAAGCTTCTTCTGCCTCTGCCCTTCTCGTCCCCATAACCTGTCCTCCTGTCCTTGCCCTGTTTCTTGTTCTGGCCCCAAAACTTGGGCATTCAGGGTTTGATCTGGAGAAAAAACAATCAGTGATCCAGTTGGCCAAGCAATGGCATGGTCACCCCTGCTGTGAGCAAGGGAAGGTGTGGGAACTCAGAGCCAAGGACAGAAAGAAGGGTGGGATTGCTCCTGTTGGCAACAGCACATATTTAGATTTGTTTAAAACCTTTGAGGAAACAGACTCTTACACATCCTTATGCTGGGGAAATGTCCATGGGCATTCTACTGAAAATACTGAACATGAAGGGAGATTAAGTCCAGCAAGACAGGCCATCACACCAGCCCAACTCTTCAATCTGGAGAGGAGACATCAAGGCAGGAAGTGATGGGGAGCAGCAAAGTCGTAAGTGGGACAAAGATGGTGAATCTTTTATAACTGTCTCTTCCACTGCAAAAATCGCAGGCAGGGAATTAAAGCAGCAGATGTTAACTTCAGAGCAGACAGGAACTGTATTTTGTGCACTCTCTGGACAGCTGAGCTGGGGAACTCATTGCCACAGGATGCTGCAGATGCCAAAGTTTACATGGATTCAGGAAGCAACAGAGCAAATTAGTGTGTCAGAAATTCATAGAGGGCTTATCAGATGCAGAAACAGTAGCCAGACTCAGGATATCCTCCAGCCTCTTGGTAGTCTAGAAGAACATTGATCGAGGCTTATTTTCATATCTTCCTTAAGTAAGTATCTGCTATTAGTTACTGGAAGAGTCTGGCTAGTACAATAGCTTCAAAAGCTCAGCAAGAGTAAGGACTTGGGCAGCTCTGCTGGTAAAGATCCAAATGTAGTTGTAGGCTCCAGGTAGAAGTGTATTGCCCCTATTTTATTTGGAACTGCATTCAAGTTGCTCCATGCTAGTGCAAGCTGCATGACAGAGAGATCAGCACTGCCCTTGTTCAATCCCCAAAGCAGATGGGTGCTCTGCAGGGCTGCATGGGTGGCGGAGTTCATGGCCACCTCCCCAGCTGCTCAGCACCTCCTCCCAGGTACAGCCGTCCTCTCATCTGCAGCGGTGCTGCTGCCATGAGTCCTCCCTGCGCCACTGAAAGTCAAAATGATGCACCCCATCCTGGGACATAGCTGGCTAAGCAGAGACAGCTGTGCCTGGAGAAGGACCTTCCACCAAGGAGGACAGTATAGGAAATTATATTACACAGTGAATATCCCAACATGGTGAAACTGCCTGCATCTGCACTGCAGCTTTGAAGAGCAGTGCCATGTCAGGACCTTGGCCTGTGCTGATCCAGGACACATGGAGCTGTATGGGCAGGTGTCCTCAGTGCCACCATTTTCCTGCAGGAGCTGCTTTGGTGCCAGGGCAGCTGCTTCCACAGGGGTGGCAGAAGTGAATTAACCACTTGGCATGGCTGTGCCATTCCTCCCTGTCTACATAGGAGCACTTGGCTGCTGTGAATGATCCCACACGGACATGGCCTTCATGAGGGCCTGGGAAAGCCTCTGGGTGGCAGGTGGTGACTGACTACAGAATTCATGGCTTTCCTCACAGATGCTTCCTCCACAATGCTAGAGCAGGAGACATTAATTTATGATCTGTAGTGTGTTTTTTCTCCAAGATTTAGAGAACAATGTTAGTGACAATCACTTCAGGGTGTGCAGCCCATCACTGAGGTGGAGCTAGGGCAGGGAGCTCTCTGAGAAGAGCACAGCAAGGGGAGGGAGCAGGCCATGGCACCAAAGGAACAATGGATTTGTTGACAGCAAGGATGCAGGTTCTTTCTAAGGGCTCTGCTCCCTGATCTGAAGTGAAAACAATTAAATTACTGAACTACTGAAAACAGGAGGGGGTTGAGTGTCTTTGAAATGTGCTCAAAACCACCCTGTTGCCACTCCTCTCAGGCCCAGAGAGGCTTTGTGAGTGGTGCTGTTGTAGAGGTGGGGACTTTGCATCTCCCCATATCCCTGTAATTAAATCCCTGGCTTGATTCCTGGGTCTCCCTGAGATGTGAGCTGCATGGAGGGGAGATGGAGGAGGATGGGGGGGAGTGAAACACTCCCTGATCAGGTCAAAGTCCCTAAGGGGCCTGCTGGGGCCCAAAGAGCACTCTGGCTGCTCCCATCCATCAGGCCCATCTCAGAAGGTCCCAATGGCAGAGGGTGCCAGGCATGGGGTGCTACAGAGACACATGGCGACCCCCCAGCTGTCTCAGCAGCAGCTTTGCACCCTCTTTGCTCTGTCAGAGCAGTGCAAGTGGCTGCCTGCGGATTTCAGTGCTCCCCCCAACATGGGGGCTCTGTGATTGATGTAAAATGTCCTCTCTCCCCATTCCCTCTGCATTTCCTCCAGTATCTGTAATTTCTTCTGAAAAAGAAAAGAAACTCTGTGACTGGACAGAAGGGCCTACGATCACTGCAGGGTGAGTCCTGGCAAAGCAGAAACACCCAGGTCCAGAAGTCAGCTGTTTTGGTTGTTGTTCAGTCCCTTCCTCCTCCTCTTTTCTGCCTTTTCCCTGCCCCTCTGTGCACACACTGGCACCAGCTGCAGAGCCAGTGGGATGCTTTGCATTCCTGGCAGGGAAAAAATACAGCAGCAGGTGAAAGGAAGCAAATACAGATCTGGCACTGTCCCTTGCCAAGCTGCTCTGTAAGAGCTCCTGTAGGAACAGACCTGCCTGTCTGATTTCCGAACCACTGCAAGCTGCTATTTTAAGTATTATCAGTTGAGAATTAACCCATGTCTGTGAAGTGTTGAGGATTTCCGTTTTAAGAGGAGAGGCTGGGGGCTATGCATAGCCTGGGCTATGTTCAGAAGAGCACACACAGCAAAATTCTCTTGTGTTTTTGCTGGTCCTTACCCATTTGCACAAGGACAGATACAGCCGTGTCCACAGGCAGCCCTAACTTTGTAAAGGTGCAGGTGTGGGTGCAGGTAAAATTGTTTTTCTCCTGGTGTTATAAGGTCTCCGAGTGTACCCTCTCTGCACTGCCACACTCCAGATTTCATACTGTGACAGTGATGTCTTCTTCTGTACCTTTTTCCAGGTCGTCCCTGCGTTGATTGCCATGCGTTTGAGTTCATGCAGAGGGCGTTGCAGGATTTGAAGAAGACAGCGTATAATCTAGACACACGGGTATGTGTTTCTATAGAAATGCTTCTACTTAGGCTTTATCTCCCAGTGGCCAGGTCTGCCTGTCTGTGCTCAGCAGACACGACATCTCTGCTGACTCACTTCCATTCCAGCAAATAGGATTGCACCAAGTACAGATTATTTTTCACAGGCTGGAGAGGTTTGTTAAAGATCATCTCGTCAGACTTCTTGCATAACAGGCTAAAGAATTACCCCAGACAGTCCCTGCATCAAACAGAGAAGGAAAGAAGATGTATGAAGGGAGAGGAGAACAGGAAAGATGATTTACTCTTTATCTGCGCTGTTCACTGGGCAGGAGCAGAAAGTGAACAGGAGAGCAAGGAGGTGTCAGACAGAGCCAGCAGAGAGGAAAGGGAAGCACATATATTCCTTGCTCATGGATAAATACTCTGTGAAAAATGGGAAAGCACATTTACTCAGGCAGTTATCACAGCACACAGGGCACTTCGCAGCTTCATAAGCCAGTCTTGTTCTGCAGAGGTCTCAATGAACAGCAAATGAGGGTGTGTTGATTGTGCAGCAATGCATGCATACATGGGTTCATACATACACACACTGACTGGGGTAGAGGCTTACCACAGGGGTTCCCATGCTGTCTGAAGCTTGCAAGAGGCAGGAGGTCTCTCACCTCCGAAAAGCCCCCCCCAATATGTCTAGTCCTACCTCTCCTTCCATAGCAGCTCCAGTAACACCAGCAACACGTAAAGCAGCCTGTGGTGAGTGAAACCAGTTCACAGCCATATTTCCCAGTTCCTTTAAGTGGCCTTTTGACCAGCACCCTCTCTGTTGGCAGGTGAGAGGGGCTCCTTGTTCCTCTAAAATCACACCTTGCTCAAATTTGCATTCACAGCAGAGTCAACCAGAGAGACGTAAATCAATTACGTGTCTCAAACTGTAACACAGGAGGGCAATTACATCGCTTTGCCTTTGGTTTCTGGTGACCTTGGGCAATCATGTAGGTCCCCACACAGTAGGTTTGGAGTGCCTTTAGCTTTTCCTATCAATAGCAAACTGATTAGGGCAGAGCTCTCAGTGCAGTATGGGTTACACTGCAAAACTTTCCCATGCACTGTGGTTCATACTAAATAGCTGCTAAGTGGTAAAGTGTGAACAGAGGGGTTTCACCTCCAGCAGATGTGCTGGACTGTGCTGGAGCACAGCAGGATTTCACCTGTTTGGATTATGTTCAGCTGAAATGTGTTGTGCCTCCTCATGACAAGCAAGACCTTGTGCAGTCACAGCTGTGCTGGTTCTCGTACTGTCACCAGGCTTTACACGGGCAGTTAAAGGAGGTTCTAAATTTCTAAGTTGCACTGGGAAGGTGTTTTTTTGAATGCAATAGGGGCAGCACCATTCCTTAACTCCACTTACAGAGATATTCAGACATGTATGTGTTGGATATCCTATATGGAGGGTGGTGGGAGAATACAACCCATCAGAGAGCAATACTGTCTTCTCAGAGGTGAGGCAGAGTACAGAGGGTAAAGCCTGTCCCAAAGCACCTCAAGATAAGCTTCTGTGAGGACCTGAACAGGCTGGAGGTGCCCAGGCACTGGTTCAGACATCTTTTGGTGCTGCAGAACAAGGGGCACAGGAACAGGGCATCACCAAAACAAAAACAACCAGTTATCTGAAACATCACCCGCCCTTTGACGGCTGTGAGTTTAATACTACTAGCAGCCCCATGCAGTACTGTTCCTATCAGGGACTTCCCAAGTCAATGCCAACAGGGTCATATTTAATTTTTGTAACTGATGTTTCTCACAGTCTTCCAGTTTACAATCAAATGCTCC